AGTGATACAGTTCTTATTCCTTTCGACCCATCAAAACCAGTTATTCTCACAACAGATGCTAGCCCAACTGGAATTGCTGCAATACTCAGTCATGATGTCGATGGTCAAGAAAGACCAATTGCATATGCATCCAGAGCATTGACTCAGGCTGAAACCAATTACAGCCAACTTGATAGAGAAGCTCTAGCAATCATCTACGCAGTCACCCATTTTTACAATTACGTTTTTGGTAAAAAATTCACTCTTGTCACCGATAATGAACCATTGTCACATATCTTTCATCCAGGACGTGCCCTGCCACGAATGACATCATCTCGCTTATTGCGTTATTCTTCATTCCTCAGTGGTCTTGACTATACAGTTCGATGCAAGAAAGGGAAAGAAAATGAAAACGTGGATTGTTTGTCTCGAAGCCCAGTTCAATCATCAATTTCATCTGAACTAACATTCGACAAAGAAATAAACACAATCAATGCAGAAACCTTACTTCAAATCTCCAGCACAGTGATAACCGCAGAAACGATCAAACAAGAAACAGCAAAAGACCCGGAGCTTCAAGTTCTTTTGCATGAACTGAAAAATAGTCGCAAAGATAGCCCTTACATGATCTCAGACAACATACTTTTCCGATCAGATCGAGTCGTAATTCCCAAACGTCTTCAAAATCGCATTCTAAATGAGCTCCATGAATCACACCTCGGAATTACTAAAATGAAACAGCTTGCTAGAAGATATGTATATTGGGAAGGTATGGACAAACAAATAGAAAGACTAGTGAAAAGCTGTGAAGCTTGTGCTAAAGTTCGTCACAATCCACCAAAGGCTCCGGTACATCCGTGGGATCAGCCCGATGATAACTGGGAAAGAGTGCATATTGATTATGCCGGTCCATTGGATGGAAATTATTTCCTCATGTGTGTAGATTCAAAATCAAAGTGGGCAGAAGTTCGCATTCTTCGAAATGCTCCTTCCTCAGCAACGACGATGGCACTACTTGAAAACATTTTCTCGGTTCATGGGTACCCCTCGTTCTTAGTCTCGGACAATGCCACTATATTCAAAAGTGAGGAATTTATCAACTACTGTAAAGAACGTGGGATTTTCCAAAAATTTACTGCTCCTAACCATCCTGCAACAAATGGCCTGGCGGAACGAAACATACAAACCTTAAAGAGAAGACTTATTGCTGCTGCCGATGATCCAACCCCAATTACCACAAAGCTACAAAACATTATGTTCAGATATCGAGCAACACCTTTGGCATCAGGCAAGACTCCAGCAGAGTTGTATTTGAACAGGAAGATTCGGATTAGACTTGACACACTTCTCCCTAACCCAAAGGCAAAGCTTCCATCAAAATCGATTGCTCCTCTTCGCGTCCGCTCTCTTAAAGTGGGGGAGAGGGTTCAGGCAAGAGTTCACCTGGGAAATAAAGACATATGGCAGTTTGGTACAGTCAAGAGAAAATTAGGTCAATACCATTACATTGTTGAATTGGATTCTGGACGAAGTTTAAAACGACACATAAATCAATTGATTTTGACTCTTGTATCCAAGAAGAAAGTTACCTTTACAACATAAAACAAACAAGATAGTTCTGTTGTTCCAAGAAGGATTCCTATTATAGACTGTCAAGCACCACCACAAGAGATCCATCCAGAGTCTGAATCAAGTTCAAACAATCCAACAGAACTAGACGGTACTCTAAGGGAAGAAAATCTAGACAGACCTCCAGCCACAGAACAAAAAGAAAACAAATTAACTCGTCCTTCCAGACAGCGCAAGGTTCCGTCCTATCTTAAGGACTTTGCTCTCCAGTGATTAAGTGGGGGAGAATGTTATGAACATATGAATCAGTTGTTACCATAGCAACCAAAAATGTTTATTATCAAATGCTGTTTACTATTCTATTCTGATCTTTAATATAACACAGTTACTTCTATTTCAACACTCTGTCTTTTTATATTCTAATATTCCACTCGAAAGTCATCTCACACACAAACTTTCACATTTATAATATTAGTAAGATTATTGTATACACTAAATTTCCTCCCCTTTAAGTTAAAAATTATTTTTTCTTAAAATACACCATTTAATCAACAACACCTCAAACCAATTGAATAATCATTAAATAACCTAAAACAAAAACACTTTTTGGTAAAACAATATTGTATGATTCAATCAAATAAGACAAATAATAAACATCAAAACAAGCAACCTTGATAAAATTGGAAACAAAACGCAGAAATAAATATTTACAAATTCAACCTTTCAGGAGGTTTTATTTCTCTGGCAGAACGCCTCAATGGCGATGAATGTTTGTGTCGATCAGCAGATCGTACAGGTGATGGGAAGGTCACGTCCGGTGGAGTAAGCAATGAGCGCATACTACTACGTTTACTACGTCCTGGAGTACGAGGTGTACTCGGCATTTCCGGTCTCATGGGTGAAGCCCGACCATCTAACTGAGCATTGTTACCAACATCCTGGTCAAACATGTGTTCAGCTGGAGGCAACACTACCTCTCTACCTCTCTAGTAATATCATTCTGTTGATCATTCAAATTTACCTTAGTGTTTAACCCGACCAGCTGGTCAATATGGCGTTTCCATACAATACCTGATAGTCCAGTCAATGAATGCTTTTCACTTCTACACTGAAAACCGAGCATCGTACGTAAAAAATTTAAATTATAAAAAGAAAGATGATAAAATTCTCTACAAGAATGGTCATATTCATTTCTTCCGTATATGCATTTGTTTAAAAGATATTCTCAAAATAATATAACAATTCTTAAATAAATTGATTTTTCACGCGTTTTTTGTCAAATAAGTTTATATAATCCATTAGCCTGTTGTTTCACATCAATCAGGATATAAAACAGGTTTTCGAACACTAACCTATATAATATAATATATCAATCGTATATATTGTGTTAAAAATAGTTTATATAAATTTAAATAAGTTATGTATATTTGTCATGGAAACAAGTAATTTTGGCATAATTATTACACAAAAAATTAAAAAGATTATGTTTGTAGCTATATTTGTCCAGGTTTATTTATAACAATTACCGAAACCAATACTTAATATTAATGTTCATGGTCTGGCTCACTTGGGACGAGAGGGTCCGACTTCTGTCCCAAAAACTGGTGCCATCTGGAACTGAAAACCACCATCTAGGACGAGGTCCTTAGAGGCCATAAACACCATCCGTTCAAATTCGTATGTAAAGAAATACTAAAAACAATAGGCAAAAAAGTCCTTGTCTGTTAGGCCTCCAAGCGAGTACAAAGCTCGACCGTGTTATTTCGTGTTTAAATGTTTCGTGTTCCGTGTTTTGTTATATGTTTAAATTATTTTATGTTTTTGACAAAAAGCTCCGACGATGTTGCATTGCAACGAAACATGTAAGCTTTGAACAACATTAGTTGAAATAGAACAAAATTTTGGACTACTGACGGAGGTAAGCCTATATAAGACTAATTTATTGCCAAACCATAGCTGAACTTGGTAATAACATCTGTATGAGTGCTGAGCTGCACTATCTGGCGAGGGTAGCAGCGATTCCAGATTTGCACTAGCCTTTTTCAAAGATTTGAAATAGTCTGTATCCCCATTCATCTACGGAATATTTACCATTTTCTCCCCATACATGGACAAAAATAAAGTTTCTCTTGCTTTTTCACTTCAATTTGTGTTGAACATTTTGAGTTGAAAGTTGATATCAATCCGTACATAGCAGCCTCAGATTCCAGTATTTTAAGGATCTGTTTTTTACCTTTCGCAAATATAACACTAGTGCTGTCACAACCACTAAATGAATGGCCCAGCAAATACGTACTTGTGAATGTTTGAAGACTGCTGTTAAAAAGAAGTCGGTGAAAAAGGTTTACGTCCGTGAACGTGATAACTTAAGTGATTTTTATCAGATTTTGAAAAAAAATTGCTTGAAGGTGTAGGGCGGAATAAACTAAAACGAGTATGAGAACCAGCATGATCGGACCGAGGGAACGTTAAGGGGGATTTTATTGGGTAAAAATTGGGGTTTCTCATTTTTGGCCCTCAAAACATAAACTCCTTAATTTCTGTTTAAACCCTTTAATATTGTGATAAAACAAATAATGCCAGTATATTTAAGTTTGTTTTTACGATTATTGGTTACGGAGAAGATTCAATAAATTGTTAATTTAAAATTCCTATTATTCTTAAGGAGAATAAGTCAATTTGTTGTAGTTTGCTTGTTTATAGGTATATTTCCATCAAACTTGGCCAATGTACTTTAAACTTAGCCACTTTACTAAAAAACATTATATTACCCTCCCTGTAGCAGCAACACTAGGTACTAGTGTTATTTACAAATAAAATAGATTTAATTGAAACTCCAATCAGATAATTGGAAATTCGCTTAGTATGCAGGTTTGCTAAGGTGGGGGTATTTTTATGCGCCATTTTGATTCTTTATTCTTATGGCAAAAGAAAGGTTTTCACCCCATGGTAGTTTTCAGAGTCTGGGCCAGGTATTGGGATTTCCTCCAAAAAGTCTTACTAAGGTAAGTGTTTCGAAATAGATTTAGGGCCAGAGGAACTTTTATATAAAACTGGTCTGTGAAGAGGTGATGTCCCTTATCAAGCAAACCACTTTTCTCCATCACTTCCACAACACAACACACTGTTTGCACAAAAGGGCCTGGTTTGTTAATTAGAAAATCTGTCCCACTGTACATTTCTATATGAATGAATAACATAGTATGTAGCTGAATCGCAGGTTTCAAACTTCTTTATTCCATATTGTTTATGTTTCTTCTTAGGTAGGTATTGGATAAATGCGCAGCGATTTTTGATGCCGATGAGGCTTTCATCAAGGCTTATGTTTTGTCCGGGTTCAAAATGCTGCTTGAGAAGTTGTCAACCTCCTTTTAAAAAACAAAGCATCCTATTATGAGCATATGCCTTGTGGTGTGGATTATGCCTTGCATTCATGCACTGGTGGGTTTTAGATGGCACCAAGTGAACCATTGGACCCTCTACCAGTGCAGACTGAGATTGTAGTACAGACTCCACCAGCAGGAGAGAGTAATCACCAGCACATACATCACTATGTCCACCATTACCACCAGCCAGGCCATCGCATGCATCACCTCCACATCAGGTCAGCAAAAAGTAAATTATGTTGGTATTGTTTTAATTTAATTTAAGTGTGTGTGTGTGTGTGTGTGTGTGTGTGTGTGTGTGAGGAGCTTTATCGTACCTAAAAATAATTAGTAATATGAGGGTTAAGAATTTTACTGAACGATTGTATTTTTACTGAAAACTCATGAACATCTCCCCCGGTCATGTAGACATTTTATCGACTAGCGGTCACGGAAACGTCATCGTCATCTTCCGTTTTCACGGAAACGCCTTTGTCGTCATCTGCAGGTGTGGAAACACCATCGTCTTCTTATTATAAAATATTTCAGTTTGTGAAATTTTGTGTTATTGTGTTATGTAAGAAATGTATTTAACACGTTAACTGCCATGTCGGTCATATCTAACCGGCACAAACTCACAGCGTCGTAAGCCACAGTTGTCCCAACTCCCTCCCTTGTAATTGCCAATTTTAAGCAAGGGGTATTTTTGCTTATGTTTATTTTATTTGATATTATAAGACTATTTTTTTACCAAATAACGATTATATATTGGCAAATAAATTTAAATTAAGTGTCGGTCATATCTGGCCAGCAAGAGTTTTTTCTAAGTAAAATATCACTTAAAAAAAATAGTGCCGGCCACATCTGCCCGACACGTGTTCTACTACGGGGGCGTTCAGGTATTTCATCCGTTGATGTTGGTACACCAGACAAACGTTCCCGCCAATTTATTGTTCCCGCCACATCTGCTCGACACGTGTTCTACTACAGGGCGTTCGGGTATTTCCTCGGTTTATGTTGGTACACCTGACAAACGTTCCCGCCAATTTGTTGTTTACAGTATTACAAAGTGCTAGTGTCCACCAGTATCGTGTACAGTGTAGACGTGGTGTTCAATGTGAAAATACGGCTTAGCAATGAGTAAATATTTGGATTATAACGAGATACAAAAGTATTTAAATCTCCCGTCAAGTGAACCAGACCTTGGTGATGCCAATATGAGTGATGAAGAAATGGAGGATTTAGGGAATGACAGCAGTGACTATGTCGATGACACGGACGAAGACCCGAACTTTGATCCTAGTGATATGGAAGAGGAATCTACATCTGATGAAGAATTATCTGATAGTGTGATGGACACAGATGATAGTCGAGTGTACAGTGGAAATGACAGTCAACTGCAAAGTGAAAATGACGAGAACGTAAAAGTTAGGGGGAATAATAAAACTGAAAAGGATGTATGGGGCGTTTTTGAGGGTAAGCAGCAATATTTCCCTTTTACTGGTGAGCCTAAGTTTAACATCAACTTAGGAAATAATGAAACTCCTTTAGATTTCTATAAGGTTTTTTTGACGGATGATGTTATACAGATGATGGTCCTTGAAACAAATAAAAATGCCAGAAATGTTATAAGTGAAGCCAGATTACGTCGCAGCAGCAGGCTAAGAAAGTGGCGTGACACAAATGAGGGTGAAATGAAACAGTTTATTGGCCTTTTGATTTGGATGGGTTTGGCACGCTATCTCCGCATCACAGATTATTGGGCAAAAAACATGTTATATAGACGTTTACTGGTCATGGGAAAGCAAAGCATAGGGTTAAGAAATATTGTAAGGTGTGCTACAAAAAAAGCAATGGAAGAGAAGAGAAGACAACATGTGAAGAATCTGGGAAAAGAAGTGTTTTAGAGAAACCCACAAGTAACCAAGAAGCAACAAGTCAACATTTTCCTAAGAGACATTTCATTTCTCACTGCCTTATTTTTTAATTTTGTTATCTTTGGTAAGACTGTATAAAATATTTTTTGTTGTTGTTTGTAATGCATTGACAGATTTCTTATGTAATGGTAACATATAGTGTAACAATACAATAAATTAGACCGTTAATAAAACGTCTATAATTTCCTTTTCATCCCTCAAACATTGATTATAAAATAATAATTTACTTTGGTCCAAAACACAAAACAATAAATAGTTTTAGGGGTTACGTGTTTGTAAATAAAAGCTGCCGGCCAGATCTGCCCGTCACTATAACAGCTAAATAACATTCAATTGTTAGTTCCCTTTGTAACAGATATGAGCGCTGCAGTCGTTCTGTAGTAAGGCAGTATCATTACGGAATGTAGCCCGATTCGTTGCTAGGTTGCAGCACTGCGCAGAAAAACCAGAATACAAAATGGCGTCACTTATTCAAGTGCCGGTCATATCTGGCCGGCACTGTACCTGTTAATACACTTACACAGATATAAACGACATGGCAATTTCACAAAAACCCAAATTAATGTCATGGCAGTTAACGTATTAATAACTATTACTTGCAACTATTGATGATAGTTGATGGAAATTTTTGTAAATAAATACCTCATTATTGGCCCTCTATCGGGATTGCTCAAAAAATCTTGTATATTCCCCATGACACTCTGGCATGACATGATCAAAGCAAAACTTTTGCACAGCAACTGATAAACCAAAACTGACAACTTATTAGAAAAACCGAGCTATCCCTAAAAACAATACATATTTTTGAACATACATACCAACAAGTTAGATTTAGCAATTTGACAGATTGTGTGTGATGTTTTGACAGTATCGGACCGTCAGTCAGTCGGGGAGAGCTTGTGTTCCCGCCTGTACTGCCTCCTGAGTTGATGCCGTTCCCCATGCTGACTCGCCACATGTACCGTCTGGAGGATTACATGCGGGTAGTGGAACAGCGAAGACTGGCAGCAGTCAACAGAGGAGCCACACAAGATACCATTGAGCGCTTCACCTTCCCTCACAAATACAAGCGGGTCAGTACAACCTCCCTGACATGCCAATCTCTTCCATAACATTGAATGACTCTTAGTTTGGATATACTGTACTGCAATCGATTAATAGGGGTCTGTGGGTCAGACTTTTTTGGTTTGGGTCGGGTCGGGTCGGGCCGATAATTTTGGCATATGTATATTATTTCATTTTCATAACTTATTTACAGTTTGGGAATTCTTCAAGAATTTTTTAAGATCCGGATCTGGTACAGTACCAACATTTTCTTGGATCCGCCCATCACTAAAAAAGACCATATACAAATCAATTAACATATCACAAGATTAGGGCCTGTAGGCTTCAAGACTGTGAGTAAGAAGAAAATAAAAATAATACGTTTCCACCATGCATGCAATTATGTATCATTCATTCCCTGCCTCCTAACCTCCTAAGTATAAAAACGTCACACTTACAATAGCATTATTTGTTACATCATCATAAATAAAGAATTATCTGTTATTGGCATTAGTAGGCCTACAGCTTTACATAGGAATTATTTTTATAGGCCTAAAATAGTAATAGGCTAAGCAACATGACAAGTGGAGAACTCATTGAAGAAAATATATTGTGTGAACTAATTTACTATAAAACTCAAAAACAGCAAATAACACACACACACATTGTTTATGGTATTGTGCCGTGTTATAGTGTAATTTCGTTACTCACGGCACGAACAGTTGTCAATTCACTCTTCTAGGCACGCAACAAATGGTATCAGAGCGTGGTTACTCTGTGTACACTCTCAGTTTGGCTGGTGTTTGTCGGATGGCGGGAAAGTTTCAGATGTAGGGTTGGTTTCAGGAGTTTCGGGTGATACAGGCATCTCCTGAGGTTAGGTTTACAAGTTCAGTGCGGCTGGCATTCCAACAGGCGCTCGCTAATGGCGGCGAGGCCCGGGTGGGGACTATGGCCCCACGTTGGGCGCCATTTGCAACAGTCTCAATTGACTGAAAAAATATGCCACCAGCAAAGTTTTGACTAGCTCTGTTTGGGTCGGGGTAAGTCCTGAATTTGGGCCAAGCAGACACTCGGGCGATATTTTATAATTAATTCATTTGAGGGCGCCACCTTGTTGAGGGTTTACTAACAGGATGCAACAAGGAACCAATCCTTCCCAGTCCGAGTGACTCCTTCAGTAAGCAGGGAGAAAAGAGAGAAAAAAATCTAACTATGTCAATGAGCCGTATTTACACTAATGAGGGACATCTCATACCCAAAATAGACAATCTTAAAACTAGCAAGAAATATTCAATCAAGTGAAATAATATGTTCAGTTACACTAACTTAATTATATACCAAGGATACCAACAACTTCAATAAAAAGACTAAATTGAGCTAGAACACAATATTTATTCAAATAAATTTCAAAAGTCAAATATTTCTTTAATCACCTAATAATATTTCAAAATTCAAATATTTACCCTTTTTCTCAAAACAAAGTTACATTTACTTGAATCAGATTACAGCTCAACAACAGATAATATTTATACTCAAAGACAATTAATTCTCAAAATATTTATTTAGGTCCAGGACCAAATTATATACCTAAGGACTTGAAATGTCCCTTAATTCAACAAAGGCAAAATTTAAAATTCAATTTTTAAGAAAATGTTTCATCAACTGACTTCCTACTATTTAAGTGTCAAGATTCAATATATATTTCAAAATAAACTCTATATCTTAATTAAGCATGAACATATTAAACAAATATCAATGAAAACACATGTGAGTTTTGACGGTGGCCACCGGAACACCTAAACAGAACATACAAACAAACAAGAATATATATACACAAATATTTCAATATTTCCCCAACTAAATATATACAGTATAACTAAATTCCAATAATAGTTTCTGGAGCACTGCGATGAGTCGTCAGTCCAAAGAATGTCCGTCCGGTAGATTTACTTGCTGTGAGTAAATAATATAAGTCACTCACCGATAGAAGTCTTCAACACAATACACGCTCGACAATAGATATCCGGCCGGGACCGGGCGATAGTGTGTCGCGGCAACTGAGAGCCGACCGCGCGACAGTAGACGGTAGCGGCAGACAAATGGGTCGACGCCAGACACAGGCTGCGACAGATGGTTGGGCCTCCAGGTCCACAGGTAACACTCGAGAGTTCAGTCAATCCAGGTCCAGGTGAACAATGATCCCAGAGTACGGTAGTCGGGAAACGGGAAACCCTGGGTACACAAATTGGGTATAGCCTACTGACTTGTAATAAAACCATAACAGTGAAAACACAAATTTTTGTCTACTCAAATTTACTAAAAAAAGGTGAAATTGCCATTATATTTACAAATTACAATTTACATTAATATTTACAAGTGAAAGTTGTCCAGTATTCATATAAATCAATTATTCTTTAAATCAATTAATTTACTGTAAATTCAAAATAACAACGACTATATTTTAAAGTGTATTTTTTTACTTGTCAACAATTAATTTAGCTTCCAACTTTAGATTTGCAACTAAAAGCTACTTCAAGATAAGATATACAAGGTTGAACCACAATAAATATTATGTTGCACTTGCTGAAAGATAAGACAAATTCAAAACAACTATTACAATGACCCTAGTTTGAGCTTTAACTAACACAATACAATGACAGTACCTACACTAATAAACATTTTTAACGACCATAAATTATTGTTCAGCGAATATTTAAACAAAGGTATACTAGTTAATTCGCAAAGTTTGTTTTACTACTAAAATCTAAACATTTTATAACTTTTTGAGTCAACAGTTACTTATTTACTTTAACATTTACTACAATTGAAACATAGCCTACACTCTAAAATTTTAACACTAACAAAATTATTAATTAATTAAAATCGTCTATTTATTCCCTTTGATTTTCAATCTTTAATATTTAAATCTCCTTGGTGCTTGACCTTCAAAAAGTTAACATCACTACTTTACATTTACGACAGAAACATAAAACATGAAATTTTCAAGATGGCAAACAAAATCGTGTACATTTACATAAAATAACCTACATGAATGGTCTTGCAAATACAATGACGAAATTATGTAACAACTGACATTAATTACATTTGTTTAAATCAAACATTTTAAATAAAGCTCAAGAAAAGTACAACATTTTTACTAACCTACAAATTTACATGACACGGTTTTATTTTTTTAAATTGGTTTGTTGTTAACTAAATATTCTCTCCAACTTTGAGTTTCAAACATCCTACTGAACAGGTTTGATACGGCTGATCGACATACTAAATTCATAAATCTATCTGTGAAGCAATCGGGTATTACATTTATGTACAACAAATCTAAATAAATACTCAATCATGATACTTTAGAAAAGGCTCCTTGCTTACCTCAGAAATTTTCTAATTATCGAAATTCAAATCCATCGACGAAGGTGTTGAGGGTACTAACTCTTCCAATGTCCTGGTCTATGCTCCAACTAAGGTCCAAAATGCATCGCTACAAGCGTTGTCGACTCTTCCTGGAATTTTTGCATGCACCGACAATCCTCAAAGTCACGTGATTCATGAATCATCGGCAGCGTTCAACATGGTCTAGGCGGAGAGGGGAGGGTAACTGACCTACTTTGGCTCAACGGCAATTCTTTTGCTCCTTTCAGGCGAGGGTAGGCAATGGCACAACATTTCCGGGTAGATATTGCCAAACATTTGAAGGCGCGCTACTTCAACTGGTTAATCCATAATCGAGGTGATCAGTCTCAATTATTTATGAATGGGCTTAAGTGGTACACGAAAATTGTTACAAATACCCCCCTGCCAAAAGAAAATTTCCTTAAATTTTCTCCAAGTGCCAAGGTGTCTTCGTTAAACATATGCCTTCAAGTCAGAGACATGCCAGTTCCCAATTCTCTTGCCCTCTAGATCTTCCAAGGCATAAATCAGTGGGGATACCTTTTTGGCAACAACATATGGTCCTGCATATCTAGGTGCTAGCTTAGAAGAGAAATAGTTGGCCGCATTGGACTGACAAAAGTCTTTCTTCCACACAAGACTTTTTTCCTTGTATTCCTGTGGACGTCTTCTCAGGTTGTAGTGCTTGGCATTTCGTCTATGGGCTTCCTTGAGATGTTCATGGACTTCTTGATGTAATCTTCTTATCTCTTGCAGATGTTCACTATAAGGTTGACAGTCTTCTACTTCAGGGATTCCATTTCCATCTTGAAGAAGGCTAAATCCTGCACCAGAAATAGGAACTTCTCTGCCAAAGTTGAGGAAGTTTGGAGTGTAGCCGGTAGCTTCATGGACTGAGGACCTCAGTGCAAATCCCACTTGAGCGATTTGGCTATCCCAATTCCTGTGATTATTTCCCACATATGCCCGTAGCATTGTCACTATGTTCTTGTTCACCCTCTCAGTCGGGTTGGCCTGAGGATGCCGACTTGCATTGAGTAAGAGTTTTACTTTGTATCTCTCAGCTAATTTCTTGACAGGGCTGCCGATGAACTCCGACCCGTTGTCACAAATCAAAAAGGTTGGAACTCCGTAAACCATAAACACCTCTTCTTCCAGGAACTTTGAAACGGAAATTGCGGTGGCTGCTCTCAACGGTTTTAGCAAAACAAATTTAGTGAAGGAATCTGTCACGACCAGAAGATACTTGTTTGACTTGACTGAGCGGGGAAAAGGTCCCATTAGATCGGCAGATATCATTTTCCAAGGGCAATCAACCCCACGGTACTCTCCCATCATGCCGGCAGGTTTTTGTTGATCGTACTTGATACTCTGGCATACTCTACAACGAGCAACATATGAATCCACATCCTTGCGCATTTTTGGCCAATAGTATTTAAGCTGTATCCTTTTATACGTCTTCAGCACTCCTTGGTGTCCTGAGGTCGGGGCGTCATGACATTCTTGTAGAGCTTGTTGTCTTAAATCCTTAGGCAGAACTACTTTCCACTCGGAATCTCCAGAGGGAAGGGGTAAAACATCAGGGACTTTCTTCCAAAGTGAGTTGTCCTTAATTCGC